GTGGGTCCCAGCTGTCATGTTCTAACTGCTGTGCTTAATGTGGCTTGTTGTTTGATGTTCCAGAATAAGTCGCAATTTTCACCAAACTTACTGGAGTTGTAGCAAATTCTACCCCCAGCCCCCCCCCACACCTTCTGTTTTTTTATTGCAAATGGCAAAATAGCACTTGAAAAATAAGACACCAGATAAAAACTGACTTTAATGATACAAATTTACATTTATACAGCCCTTTCACATTGGAAGGACATCTCAAGGTGCTTATCTCTCCTGACTTGTCACAGATATGTAGGTTATCTCTCCTCTATGTGGAGTCCTGTAGCTCAGTGTTGAGAGCACTTGCCTCGCAATTGAGATACCTGGGTTCGATTCCCAGCAGGGCGAAATGTTGGACAAGTTTCCTTACTCCACACCCTCTGTTTACCTAGCAGTAAGTAGGAAGCCGGTTGTTAGTCGATTGGCGGATTGCGTTTCCGGGGACAATAATTCCTTCAAAAAAATAATAAATTGGTCACTTCAATCCACGACTGTTTGTGGGATACTGCTGTACACAATTGTGTACAACTGCCACGTTTCGCCCACAAAATATATAGTCAATTCACTTTACAGTATATTCTGTGAAACTCTTTGGGGCGTCTAGAAGACATGAAAAGGCGCTATATCAAATGTAAGGATGATTATTAATATTATTAGCATTATTATATGGAGGGGGCTTATCCTACTTACTGTTGCTGTGCTGATCAAGGGCTGTCTCTGAAATTTCAAACTATCTCTTTCAAATGATGATTAATTTGTTGCAGGTTTCCAGCATTTCTGTTTTTATTTCCAATTTCCAGCATTGCATTTTTTTCAAAAAATCTATCAGTTGTAAATCGCTACCTGTTCCAGTAGTTAATAGATTTGGCTCAAAATTCTGAGGATCTGGCTCAGAATCTAAGGATCTGGCTCAGAATTCTGAGGATCTGGAGCAGAAAACTAATGTGTGAGTTGCACTGAAGAAGCAGAAATGGTGAACTTTTATAAATCTGCTTTAGGCTACACTAATTATCATATCTGAGTCTCGCTATTGGGTCCATAGTCTGCAGGGAAACCATAATCGTTTTCTTCAAACATTGCATTTTGTAATGCAAAACATACCTGAAAGCTTTTTTTTAACTCCCAGATGTTACATATTATAGGAATATATCTTGAATGTCCAGTGTTGCCAACACTAGTTAGAAGCCAAATATTTTTAGTTCTGCTGAGCTGCAGGATGTATGGCATATATAGTGTTACTGTCAGTGCAGACATACATACCTAGAAGTGTTCTTTATCCCATATTCGCTGTTATCTAGCCATTAACCATCCCATCATAATTTCATATTGGCTCACAGGATTTGTATTCTAGCCTATCAATTTCCTTTGAGAGTTTTATCAAATGATTTGTAATGGTAACAAATCTCCATCTTCAAAATAGTCTTCAAAGAATTCAAATAGATTTTAAGAAGTTGTATCAGGAAGTAACAAGGAGTGAGTGAGGGATTCAGTGATATTTATTATAATAATAGATACATTAATCCTTGCAAATAATGTAGCGCCATATAATATCGTCGAGACGTCTCAATGTGCTTCCCAGGATTTACAGTAAGGTGGATTGACTTTTGTACTTGGTGGGCATTTGGTGTGAGATAAGGGCTGAGGCGGGGAAAGTGGTGAAGATGAAAGAAAATGCTCTTACTCATGATTGGGACACAGAAGAGTGGAAGTGGATAAGGATGGAGAGACGGTCAAGGAAAATGGAATGGTCAGCAGTATCAAAAGCAGCAGAACGGTTGAGGAAGACATTAAGACAGGGGGAGCCCTGATTGCAGAGTGAGAGTACATTGGTCATCTGTTATGAAAAAAATATATTATTTTCATCACTAAATCCAAAGATATCTGTTCTCTTTATCCTGAGTTTTTATATAGATTTATTCAGTGGCAGCAAGAGGTAAGGTTCGTACATGGTTGGGGGAGGGGTGTTAGGGGACACGGGGGAGGAGGCGGCCGGGCGGATGTTTTCTATCTTTGAAATGAAGAAATCCATCGCACTAGGGATGAAGACTTCATCGTACTTGGCACTAGATGTGAGGATCGAGGGTGCTTGAGAGGCACATGGAGAAGATGATGATTGGTGAAGAACATCACTTTGGGGGTGGTTTTGGCCTCCAGAATGGCCTGGGAATTGAAAGCAGTTTTGGCCTGTGTGAGAGAGAGAGAGAGAGGCGGTAGGTATAAAGATGCTGCAGCAGGAGCATTAATATTTGTACAAGAAAGCATGCTGAGTGCGATGAAACTAATGAGAGCAAGTTAAAGTGATGGACAGTTAGGAAATATCAAACTTGTAGTGCTTGGCTTGAACAGCAAGCTGGTCCTTCGTAACATTAAAAATGTTCAAATTAAAGCTTGTAGTCTGTCTAAAGGATGAAGGGAAACAAATTAAATTTGCATTGGACGTGTTTACACTGCAAATATTGTAGCATTTTGTCATCAACATGAAGTATAATGTGCTAAGAGATGCTCCTCCACGTGAAGGCGCTAAATAAACAATAGTTGTATAAGCACAACAACAACTTGCATTTATACAGCATCCTTCATCCGGGATAACATCCCTGAGAGCTGGACAGTGTTGGAGTCTGACCCAGAGACAGGGATAGAGGGAGGGGGGAGGTGACCGTAAAAAGGAAGGTCATTAGGTAAGATTTGGCAATAGGGATGGAGGGGGCAAGGCAGAGGGATTGCGGGAAAGAGTTCCGGAGTTTCGGGGATGTACTGTTTTACACTCATCACAGTGAAACACAACAGTTTTTGGGTGGAATAGAAATGTTTCTTTGCACCCAGTGACTGAATTAAGAATTTTCGCATCTTGTCCCATCTGAGCTGGATGCAGTGTGGACCTCTCGTATATTGTCCCCACATTGGCTATACTTGATCCTCAGATCACCTCTTCAGATTCCAATACCACGTCTCCATTTCTAAGACTCAGCATCCTTATGGCCTCTTGCTTGAACAGATTTACCAATTTAGGGCTAATTGGTGTTATGGATTCCTGTCACTGTGCACTTGAACTGATCCTGCCCAGGCCTATTTCAACAGGAATGTTAACAGCAATGAGGTGGAAGGCCATCAGTTTTATCTGTCTGGGGATGACTCAAACCCACATCATGTAAAATTGTTCTTAAATTGTTGGGCCCCATCGATCTGGAACATTGAGTTCTTTGTAGTTAATTAGGTTAACTAGCAAATTTTGGTGATGTGCATTAATCCTACTCCACAGATACTCAAACTTTTCTCTTTAAATGTGTTTCTTGGTGACTAACGTACTGCAATAAAACTGTCTGAAATATTTCTGGACTCAGCTTCACCAAATGAAGCTCAGACCTCTTGGTAACTCACATTAATTGGCAATGGGAGTTGTAAAATAACTGCGTGAGTGTTGGGTGCATACCATCACTGATTCTGATCTTGGGTTGATAGAACCTAACTTGAAGCTGTGTTTTTGATATGTAGGTATAAATCCTCTTCAAACTAACATTCTTTGCTTGATCAGATACAGATGCTCCTGACATTTGTCATGTATTTCCTCCTTTAAGTTCCCATAAAATATTTGCTTGGGTTTTTGCATTACTCACAACTTCTGTCTCTATTTTCCTTATTATTTCCGAGTGAAATCAATTCCCTTATGTCGTCTGTTGCATCTAATTATAGATTTCCAACAGCAACACAAACTTAAACATAGTTTTCTTAGCTGAGTTGGGTTCTATTTATTTTATTGGTAGATCTATATATATATATTATATATATATATTTTATAATGAAGTTAAGGAAATTTCCCAGACCAGTGTTTTATTTATCTGCATTAATGGTCCTTGAAATAACTGAACTGATCTCAGACCTCATCTCTGTAGTCCCACAGCTTTAAACTCAATAACTCCAAGTTGTTTAAAGCATAATGAAAAGTTTCTGTGTGTCAGACCAATAAAAAGAACTCCAATTGAAGTTCACCAAATGAAGCTCAGACCTCTGTCAATTCATGCTAATAAGCTCAATAGACAGTCTACTTGTTGTGTATTCCAGGAAGATCATATGAATATCATTTGTGTTTTTTACTTAGAGACTCTGGTGATTATGTTTTTTCTAATCATATGAATCATAATTTATCATTCCAGCAAATTTAAATCTTAAAAGTAAGTTTGATGATTCTAACTATCACATTTATGAACCGAATCATGGTATCCGTGCAGTCTTATTTTAATCAAAATCCACTTTATTGAATTCTTTCATAATCTTAAACACCTGTCAGGTAGTCTCAACTCCAGAGAGAAAAGATGCAACCTATCCAATCTTTCTTGATAGCTGTATCCATTAATCACTTGTAACATCCTTGTAAATCTTGTTGGTAAGTTCACCACGCAGCTTCTACCTGTATGTATTTTACCAGTTATCCCTGCCCAAGTTGGTGCATATCTGTTTGCATGTAGAATTGATGTTATTCAATAGGATTTGATACCTATTGAATGTTATTTTTAAAGAAAATGTTTTAAATTTCTACATAAAATAAACGTATTGGTTTATTGCATCTAATGTGCTCCCATGATTATGCTGCTACGAGATATTCTGCAATTTTTAATCATACAGGGACACAAGTAAGGAATAAATCTGCCATTTTCACCAAGCGAGCACTGCATTTCTGAGCTTTGTTTTAAGGTGGACTTTAGGATTTAGTTACAGTCTTAGTATTACCTAAAGTGTTATTTTTAAATGCTATTTAGCTCTGGCCTTTGAGAGAGGAGAAGAAAACTCTGGAAACTACATTTCAGCATGCAATACAGGTTGTGGAAGACAAGCTTAATTTGCACTGCTTCTTTTGATGGTTCTGAGTAGGTTTTAGCGTCACAATAAGTGACTGTTCTATTTAGTTTTGTGATGTTTTTAGGAAGCGATTGTTTGTGAGAAGTAAGACTAATGACTCTTCATTCTTGCAGCTGGCTTCAGAAGAAGTTTTCGACTGAGCAGAAAAGACAGGAAGATGAATAAATCCATGTACGAATGTAAAAGAAGTGAACAGTACGACACTGCAGATGTTCCAACCTATGAAGAAGTGGTCTTTTACCAGCGGCAGCCCAGCGAGAAGTACAGGCTCGTTGTCTTTGTTGGTAAATGGTCATTTTAACTCTGATTTGTATATTGTTTGTCTTTTTGGGCAGTTGTTTGACCCTAGGTGTGCTGCCTAGTGTCCACTTGTTTAGGTTGCTTGAATGATATTCTAGTGAGATTACCATCATTTCCACAATTTGGGCTGAGCAACGTCAGAAATAAGAAGGGGTTGGCCATATTACTTGTTTCTCTTTTTAGTTGGGTACCATTTTTGATGATTTAGCTGTGTATTACTGCACTAATTTGTACCTGGTTTAGGCTTAGTGTTTAGTTTGCGGTGATAAGAAAAGCACTGGCCAGGTGGAGGTGTCAACAGCAGACATTACTCTTATTTCCATAGTATTTATCAAATGCCCTTTTTGTTCCACATGCACAGTCGAGTCACAGCATAAGGAGGCCTAACCTCAAATCAAGTGATGTGTGATCAGTCAAGAGACAAATGCATTTAATGGCCAGTACCTGTTATCTTTACATGACTCAAATCTGAGGACCACAGTTATTTACTGGGGAAAGTTTAGTAGAATGGTCGATAAGGTAAGGCTCCAGTTAATGCTTTGCATCTGGGTTTCAAATCTCATTATAGAAAGGATATCACAATTACGGAGATGATACAGCAATGTTACTGAAATGTTACTAAGAATGAGAAGTGATAGTTGCATGGAGAGACTTGAAAAGTCAGTGGAGTTATCGGTGGACCAGAGAAAATTAAGAGTGAGGGAGGGGTTATCTATTGGAGGTTTGAATGGTTTTGTTTGGGTAAATAGAGAAAGGATAGTTACAATGATGTATGGGTCAGAACGAAGAAGGCATGAATTGAAAACTATTATGTACTGCACCAGAGTGTAAGACTAGATTGTGAACGCAAATGCTCAACTATTTTGAATAGTGTCGTTTGAACAGCCTCCACCTGAACAATCAGACATGACCTTGCTTTAAAACATAATCCAAAGGCCGGCACTTCTGACAATAGAGCTCCCCGAGTACTGCACCAGAGTGTAAGCCTAGATTGTGAACGCAAAGTCTCAACATAGGGCTTGAACCCATAGTACTTTCAACTACCTCAAAGTTGCATTGATGTTTGCAATTGTGGGAGCAAGGATATTGGGGAATAACACTTGTTGTAGGGAGACTTCTTTTCAAAAGAGCTATAATTACTTCCTCAGGGATCTATTCAAGGACTACATGAAAAGTAGGACAAGAATAAAAATTGTATTGGATAAAGACCGTGGAAATCAATGGTCTCTGAAATTCTGGATCCGAGATGTTATTTGACATAGACTAGCCTTGCATTTTTTTCCTGGATGGTTTCCAAGGTCTACAGAAATCATTCACTCATGAGCAAATGAAGAGTGCAGTCCTTATGGCTGTACTTTCATGGAAGTGGATACTTCACTTCATTCACTAGCGTTTGGGGATGCCCGAACAAACCATAAAGTTGAAGGTTTCTACTCCTGTTTATCGTCTGCCTCAAAGACAGGAGGGAACAATTTCTTCACACAATGGGGGTGTGAGAATGTGCAAATGTCCTGTCCCACATGACTGTCGACTCAGAATCAATTGAGGTGTTTGAGAACAAAGTAGATAGGTACTTGGTAAGTAAGAGTATTAAAATAAACAGTGGTTTTAAAAAGGTAAAGGAGCTGTTGTGGGCTAATGGCAGAGTTAAATGATTAAATGGGTTAAATGGTCTCTTGTTTCTATACTCCTATCATGACCTAAGGAAATTGAACTGTTTTCTCCAAAGGGAGAAGTTTACAATGTTCATATTGCACCACATTAATATGGGAGAAGAAGAATAATCCTTGTATTTGATATAAGTGACTTAACACGCCGCTGAGACGTTTCAAAGTGCTTCTCTGTAAAGTTTACTGTAAAGTGGAGTGACTGTATTTTGTGAGGAGCTGCAGATCTCAGGTCTTTATTTTCAAGTTGGACCTTCTGCCCGACTTTAAAATTGCTGGAGGAAGGGCTGTCATTTTTTGAGTAACTATTCTTTTGATGATCTTTAGTTACTCCACACATTCAGTTCAAGTACTTTTGCCTGAACTCAGCCTGTGGATCTTCGGAGAGTCAATGGTTTCATAGGTTCCACATTTAAGAAAGGAATTACTTATTCCTGATTCTCTACGACTTGTTAATACCTCAAGCTTATCTGTGGAAATAATTGAGCAGTAGCTCCGATACGTTGCTGTCGTTCATTACAAATTAAGAGACTGCCATGACCAGTGGCTAGCAGCTCCTTAGTCCTCTCAATGTGATTAGAGTCTGGGGAAACCAGAATGAAACTGGGCTAAATAGGAGATTAGAAATGAGGGCCCAGTGTTTTCATTGCATCAAAATGAAAAGATTTGTTAATGCAGTTTGTACAAAAAGAGTGCATTTTAGGGAGAACATATCTCCCCCCCCCCCCCCCTCAGTAGAGCTGATTTGTATAGAATCCAGAGTGTTTGGCAATCCCACAGATATACCAATTGGGGAGTTTTATTGGATGGAATAGTCCATTCCACCCACGTACCCAGAGGGGCTGACTTTTCTGTTTGCTGGACATGGCTGATTTTGAGTCACAAAGAGGAGTCTTGTTCCACTCCAACACAATATGCCTCCGGAGCGGAGTTTTGTGTTTCACACCTCCAGGTTCCCCTAAGGAACCTGCATTTGCAACTCAATTGTTATTAAAGGGAGAACATGTCTCTTCACCTCCCCTCCCCCCACAAAGCTGATTTGTATAGAATCCAGAGTGTTTGGCACTCCCACAGATATACCAATTGAAACTGTCACAGTTTAGACACCAAGTTAGACACCAAGTTTGCTCTTAGAATCTTAATAAGATGTTAAAGATTTTGTCAAAAAAGATTGCAAGATAAATTCGTCATTTGGGTAGTAACATCACTGCGAAGAACAAAATCCAAATATCTTCAACTCTTATCTTCAAATCTTAAGAATATTCGTGAAACAATGTAAAACAATGTATTGGCAGCTATCTTTCCATTGATAATTTCTTAAGTATTTCCTCCCAACATCTGCTGTGCATCAAAGAGGGCCATGCTAAAGAGGAGTTGAATTCAATTACAGAAAATTCCTTCAAAGGATTCTCCCTTTGTAGTGAAGCCTGGAAAGATCTGGATCTGTGTCATTATCCGTTCAAGTCTAGTGTGTGTGCAGAGGGGAGTGGGGTGCAGTGGCAATATCTCCGTTTATAATCGGACTGGATAGCAGTATTCAACCAAGGATTGTAAAATACGCAATAAATTAGTTTTACAGGGTTCTGAGGTGAAGTTATTATTGCACCACATTTGACAATGCAACAAATTATGGGTTTAATTTTCAGCAGATCCTATTAGGAATAATCAATAGCAAACAATGATTATTTTCAGTAATCAGATTCACGTTCCATTACTTGAAGACGCTAGAATGTAGTTGTTACCACAGGTCATGACCTGCTTCCAGTTATTGGGAGGACCCGCTATTGATGATGTTAAGGACTGTGGGTATGAATTGCCACAATGTAAATGCTGTTAATAATCCTTGCATTTGATATTGTGCATTGTCACATGATCAAAACATCTCAAAGAGCTTCACGGGAATTATTAAAAGTGTAGCGATTGTGTATTGGTAGGCTAATTTGGCAGTCAGTTAACACACAACAACAACAAGATTGCATTTATAGAGCGCCTTTCATGTTGGATGTCACACAGCGATGTCCCACAAACAGCAATGAAGTGACTGACCAATTTTGTTTGGGGGATTCCTGGCCAGGACACAAGGAAAAACTCTCTTGTTCCCAGTAGTACCATGGTATCCGTAAAATCCACCTGAGCAATCAGACCTGACCATGTATTGCATTGTAAAATCCTAACATGGGGCTTGAAGCCACAACCTTCTGACTCAGGCAAGATTGCTTCCAAATGAGCCAGTCGGACATCTGGTTCCATGTTGTACAATGTAGTGGAAAAGAACATGAATATAAAAATGTGCAATTTTATTGCAATAACTGAAAACTCTTAGTTTAGCATATTATGTGCTATAAATGTCAAAATTGGCTGGGAATTCATAATTTCTGCAGTGTTACATTGCCCTCTTCGCTAATATATTAATAAAGCAGTGGAGGTATATATATGTATATACTAGTTGTAGTTTCCTCCAAATGACAGAAGCTTTCTTCTGAATTTTAGGATGGAAACATAAGGACTGTATGAAGCTTGCATTTTTACATTTGTCAACAGTTCAGCAAATGTCTTCAGGCCACAATAATTTTATGGAGAAACTGGCAGTAACCCAATTTATGCAATAAAGTTGCACAGGCAGATTTGGTAAGAATTTGTTTCTGTTGCCTGAACTGCCCCTGAGTATGAAGTGAGCTTGGGATGTCAATAATGAAGCCATTGTTTTGCAATTGAAGTCTCCCCACTGTGAGAATGGTCAGATGAATGACATTATGTATCATAAATACTATACTTTGGGGAGGTACGGATTCCAGCTGCAACTGCAAAGAGGGGAAATTATCCTGGTGACACAGACGAATACATTTCTCCATAATTAATGTAAACATTTGTAAGAGGAGCATATTGTCAGCACAAGTGTCATCATTGCGTCATTGTTGGAGAAAGTTGAAGCTCATTTAGGCCTTGATGTTTGACAGCCAACCTGAAAGAACAGCATGAAACTAGGGAGGGGAAAGTGGCAAATGATGGAGTGGTCAACTTTAAGGCAGAGAAAAGTGCAGGGAGCCCTGATGGAACAACAGGAAGGATGTTACTTTGCCCAGGGTGCTCTCAAGGCTGTGGGCAGGAGGGAAACCAGATTGGGGGCACTCGTACATGAGCTGTCGGAGGGGAAGGAGTTTAGCTGGGAGGTGACAACTTGTAGATGGACTGGTTGGGTAAGAATGATAACTGGAAAATTTGCAGGAGTCAAGTGTAGGGATTTTGAGAAGGGGATAATGGTAGAAATTTTGATGCTGGATTTCATGTAAGAAATGAGGAAGAGGGATTACGGGGGAGACAGAACGAAGGTGTGAAGGATCCAGTGGTATAGGACTAAGTCCATGAGCACTCATGAGGAGCTGAAGTGTCTGTCCTGCAGGATGACACTGCAGTAGGATGATTTGGCCAAGAAAGGAGAGAGACAGTAGATTATAGTTTGATTGAAACTAATTTGGTGGCGACCATTAGGTTCGATTTGAGCAAAATACTATTCAGCATAGGCTTGAAAGTCCAAAAAGAGACAGCCCTCGGATTCCAGACACAAGGCAAGCTCCATTTTCCAATTGATTTCCCTCAACATTGTTGGCAGCATGGGAAGAGCAGAACAGAGCTGGGTATACATTACGGATGCTGTTTCCATTGCACCACTGAAGGTCTAAAGTTGGGGGCACTGTTGCTTTACAATACCCCTATTTGCAGTGTCTTTCTTATGAATTTAAATAAGCGTTTTCTTTTGTCTGAATAACTTTTCCAAAGCTCATTTTTCTGCCACATTTGACAGATTGTGAAATAATCACTAGAATAATATTGGGATTGTTCAAATGAATCACAAGAATTGGAGTTTAGCTTTTGCAGAAGTCATTGCTATGCAGTTTTTGAATAGTTTTGAGGAATGAAACTTTTAATTTATAAAAGTTGAGCCCTGAAGAGCAGGTTAATTTAAGTTAAAATAAACAGAATTGTCCTGTGTCTGGCGTGCCGCAGTTTAACTGTGCACCACTGGCCTCCAGCTGAGATGGAGGCTTGTACAGCCACGCAGTAACATGCCTGAGTGATCTTTACACCTAGAACAGAAAGTTAAGAAATACAACCTTATGCGCTTTTGATCAAGAGCTTTGTTGGGTTTGGCCAGTTCTCTTTGTACGAGGGTGTTAAATTATTGTTATTTATGTAATATTCTTTTAAAAAGTCCATGTCAACAGTTGCTGCATTTAGTGAAACCTTTCCCAAGATTAATTGAGTGCGCAAAGTAGCTTTGAATGGATCATGAAAGTGGGATGAGTTAGAGAACTGGCACAATAAAACTATAAGTTAGTGTTTTTTTTAACATCTGGCGAAGAATCTTTTGACACAAATTTAACTCATTTCAAGGTGCATTTATTCTCGGTTGCAATGTTGCCAGCCGAAATGAAACTGATTTTCTGACAACTGAAACAGAAATTAGACAGTAAAGTAGTATGTACCTTTTTTTTAAAATGTTTCTCGCCCAGAAAAGTGGAAGAACAGAGATCTTGCTTCTTCACCAGGCTCTCCGCCTAATATGGGGAGTCTGTGGCTGCACATTCCTGATTTCCCCCATTCCCTGCTGCCTGACCCCACTTCCCTAGCGGCATGTGGTTAGTGTTAAATACAATAGGCTCACTATCAAGTTTGGCACTGGACCTGACATAGAGCGATCTTGGATCAGCGTGGGACCAGTGAAAGTTTGGGCACTTTTACCCTAAAGAGCCCTTTTATAAGAAAGTTTATTTTTTTATATATAAAAATTTTTTTCAACATGAAACTTTCGGACACTGGGTAGCATGGCAGATCTGATGTTAGATTGCTTGATTTTTATTTTGAAGGCTTACCTTTGATTCATGGATCACACTGCCATTTCAATTTGATTTCCCCTCTCTCAGTGGACAAGTATTTCTTGTTCTCGCCCAAGCATTAAATGGAGTGTTTTACAGCAGCTGTGTTCTCATTCTGGAAGAGCCACAAAGACAATCCTTTCCTGCAAAAAATATTTGTGGCTAAAGTATCAGCAGAGGCTGTGGAGTAGATTGGTGGCCCAGAATGGCCTCTCAGCTGTAAAGCAATGCGTAATGGCAGGTGACAGCAGTGGGAATCGTATGGGCTTTAAATTGTGGTAAAAGAATGCTGTTACTTTCATGTAATTCAGGTTATATTCATCAACACAAACTTTTTGGATGAGTGGAGGCGAATTGTATATTGTGGTGTTTTTAGATCGGTTGAATTTCTTGCCAAAACATTCTCACCCAATGCTCCTCATGCAATTGCTCGTGCAAATGTCTATGTTTCTCTTCTGAATAATTGCAACGGGGAGTATTGGTGTTAACAACCCAGTTCTTCTGCTGTTGCCTGTTCATGTATCTCAAATTGTTAACACAGCAATTGCTTTCTGAATTGCAGAGTATATTTCGGAGTGAGCTATAAATGGTTGGGATGTTCTGCTAAGCTAGGTAATGGAAATAAAAGCTTTGGGATTGTTCAAAATACAATGCGATGCTGTGATGGAATAATTGATGTACAAATAGAAATGAATGGGTTATTATTAGCCAAACAGTCATTCTCATCCCTGACTTTTCTTATGTTAAGCAACAAAATGGACAGCTCAATAGGAAATCCACAGGCTGCGAATAATAATGATCCTTGCATTGGATATAGCGCCTTATCACATCTTTGAGACGTCTCAAAGCGCTTCACAGAATATACTGTAAAGTGAATTGACTGGATATTTTGTGGGCAAAACACAGCAGCCAATTGTGCACAGCGGTGTCCCTCAAAAATTTAGTGTTTTTTTACGGAATTATTACCCCCAAAAAACCAATCCACTAATCGACTAACACTTGGGTTCCTACTTACTGCTCGATAAACAGAGGTGTGTGGAGTAAGAAAACTTGCCCAACGTTTCGCCATGCTGGGAAGTGCTTTAACCACTGAGCTACAGGACTCTGCAAAGCAACTATAGCATCTTTCATGTTAGGTGGATTTCTTGTATTGCTTCACAGGATACACTGTAATGTGTGGGAAGGAGAGAATGGGGGGCGTTGTTGGCCAGGACAATGGGAGAAAGTTCCTTCTCTTTTCAAATAAAGTTTTGGGATCTCTTAACCCCCTCCTAATAAAACAGACAAGACCTTATAATAATAATAATAATAATAATAATCCTTGCATTTGATATAGCGCTTTTCACGTCGGGAGGACGTCCCAAAGCGCTTCACAGAACACACTGTAAAGTGAATTGACTGTATATTTGTGGGCGAACGCGACAGCCAATTGCGCACAGCAATGTCCCACAAAGAGTCATGGATTGAAAATGACCAATGTATTATTGTTTTGTTTTGGAGGGATTATTATTAGGCTCTGTGTGGAGTAAGGAAACTTGCCCAAGGTTTCGCCCTCTGCCTGGAATTGAACTCAGGTCTCTTGGTTTAACTTCTCACCTGAAGGATGGCATCTCTGACAATTCAGCACACCCTCAGTCCTGCATTGAATTAACATCTTCGACTACGAGTTCAAAGTATTGACATAGGGCTTGACTCACAATCTTCTGACTCAAGTGATAGTGCCACTAATTCAGCCAGGCTGATGCGCATAACTTACCTGTTTGGTTGAACAAAGGAATTTGGGGGTTTATTTGATTCACTGATAATTATGTAGAACTCCATAATTTATAGCCCCTGAGATAATCAGATATGTAGAATTCAGGCATTTTTCTTGATAAAATTCTAATTTTCCTCAAGCCATCTTGTATCTGGAAACGCTGCCTGTACATCATTAATAACAAATTTACATAAATAAAGCACCTTTTTATGTTGAGAGGGCGTCCCAAGGCACTCTAATCAACCACCAACCTTTGAAGACTTAAATATTGTGACTTGTTCAACCAGGACTAGTCTCGAATGCTTATGAACATGAATGAAGTAGTAGTTAGTTCTGTGTAGTTTCTGTTGTCCTCAATACTGTTTTCTGTTCGGGCTTTCATTTAACTTGTCATGTTTTACCATATTAGACTGTAATTTACACCTCCAGTGCAAGAACATAATCCTTTATCAGGAGTCAGTCCAGTTATTTGCAGCTTTTGATACTCAGTAGAATTGTTTTCCCTTGTTGTGGATCCCACAATTCCTGTCAGAGTGATGGAAAACTGTAAAACAGTAAAACTGTCAGGCAGACGTATTGAATATTGAGCCATTTCACATCTACCTTAGAAGTCAGAAATCACTCCAATCTGGCAAAAGATGTCTGGGAGATTTTGTTAAGGCTTTCAGGAAAGTGTTCATTTTAGAGAATCTTTCTAAAAATGTTTATGTGGGATTTGTTTATGATTCGGTCTGTCTGATCAAATCTGTTATTTCAGCTGATAGACAAACTGCTGCACCCAAAACAAGGAATTTATTCATCTATCTGTTGCTGTCAGAAAATAGCACGCTGCACAAATCAAACCATGTGTTTTCATAGAATCATAGAATTATACAACACAGAAGGAGTTCATTTGGCCCATCACGTCTGTGCTGGCTCTTTGAAAAGAGCTACCCAATTCAATCCCGCTCCCCCGCTCTCTCCCCATAGCCCTGCAAAATTGTCCTCCCCAAATAATTATCTATTTCTCTCTTAAAAGTTGTTTTCGAATCGGCTTCCACCAGCCTTTCAGGCAATGCATTCGAGACAACATGCATTTTGTTTTAAATGGATTTCTAAATGTAGAAAATGGTTTGATGTGCTATGTAAATTAGCCCATTGAGACAATAGTATAACAAGTAATATAACTGTAGAATGTTAGTGACTGGGGCATTTATTTATTGTGACACCCTGTTCGTTGCAAACCAGACAGTAATAGTCATGCCAGCTACAATTTTAAAGGGGAACAGAGACACCTGGTGAAGGTGGACGACAAGTTGTTAAAGCTGTTAAAAAAGCATATGGGATCCTCGGCTTTATAAATAAAGGTATGGAGTATAAAAGTAAGGAAATTAAGTTGAACCTTTACAAATCACTGGTTAGGTCTCAGCTGGTGTATTGTGTCCAATTCTGGGCATCACACCCTGAGCCGAGTGGCCTCTCTTCTGTGCTGTAAGATTCTAGACTTCAGTTTGGGTCTGAATGAAAAAGGTACAGTAGGTGGTTATTTATTAATGATCCCTAATGATTTGGACCCATGATATATTAGCAGCTCGTTTTAGGTAACCGCAGCTAGACTATTAAAAAAACTGTCATCTGTATTTTCTTTTGTAGGTCCTCCAGGAGTAGGGTTGAATGAGCTGAAGAGGAAACTACTGATTAGTAGTTCACAACACTATGGTGTAACAATTCCACGTGAGTATGACCCACTTTTGTTGACTTGTTTTGAATCAACCACAATAACAACGGCAAGTGTAGAAGTCAAATGGACAATTTACTGTAAGTACAATAACTTACACATTTGAATTAGTGTCCGTAAAAGACTAAGAATGTAGTTACTCTTTAGCCTACAAAATACAGTCATTGTACTTCACTCTAAATCCTGTGAAGCTCTTTGAGATGTCCTAATGTGAAAGGCACTATATCAAAAGCAAGGAATACTATTATCATTACTCTTCTTTTATCTGGTTTAGGAGACCTCGCTTGATGGTTTTGGCCATTTTTATCAATTCATATCCTCCACATACCAGTTGCTAGTGCCATCAAAGAGTGAGTTATGAAACATAACCCATATAAGATGTTCATATCTTGAAGATTTTGCCATACATGCTCCTCATTCTGTGTTGTATTTCATTTTCAGAAAAGGTAATGAACCTGTAACTTAGTCAGGTCAAATTCACAGTATTTCATTATTAAGAAATCCAAATCAAAGGACTTCCCTCCACACACACACACACGCGCACACATACACTTCAAAAATGGATCTTTCACCCATGTGTACATTGATGTTTACCTCAGTCCATCATTCCTTCAATAAATGCCCGAGTGAAGTATATCGACTCATTTGAGAAACAACTTGATGCTGTAGTGAGGAGATAGTAAATTTTCTTTTCTGTAAAGGCTGAGATCAATTGTTTGCCTACAATACACAGTTACTACACTTTTCATTAAATCTTCAGATTTTGTATTTTGTGGGCAAAACGTGGCAGCCAATTACGCACAGTAGTGTCCCACAAACAGACATGGATTGAGGATAAACACTAGATTTCACATCAGCTTCATCTAAATTGCAGTGAAGCGGTTTGAGTCGTTCTCGCGACGAGAATGACCCTTATGGACTATTATTATATCAGTTGAGCTGAATGATGACCTTAACCGAACTGGTCTTGTGATGTTATGACTTTTATATTAAAAAAAAGTCTGCTCATGGCTGTGTTAGCTCCTAGACGTTGAAATCATTGTAGACAAACAGGTTTTTTTGGGGGGGAGGATGGGCGGGGGAGGGGGTAGGATTGCAGGCACTAAATTGATTGAATCATTTCAGTAGAAACTTTTCCAAATATAAACTCGAACCACAACTGAAGATTTTAGAGACTCATTAGTCCATGAAACTAATGGATAGTTTCAACTTCAAGGCAGTGTGACCTCTTCTGAGGTCAGCCAAGCAACCTGCACGTATTTTAATCACTGTCATCAAACTAACTGTCCCACATTTACTAAATCCCCAGAGCTCAGGAACCTGGCACAGGATTTGTGGAAGCCAGCCAGTCAAGGCCCCTCTGCATCAGTTTTTTTTAGCCAATTCCAGCACAGCCTACTCTACACTTGGATGCCTTGGCAGCAGTAGCACAGACAGACTGTGTACAAAGAAAGTTTGGAAAATATCCTGCGCTGAATAAAAACTCTATACCTTCAGGCATGGAATCTAACTATTTGGACTGTTTCCCATCTCTTTCGAAAGTACATGGAAGTTACAAGAAGTGTTGAGAGGCTCAGAGTCCTATCTGTAGATCAGGACTATTGAAATAGTTGGTAGTGAGTTTCAGCTTGGCTCAGTTCACTCTTGCCTCTGAGTCAGAAGTTTGTGGGTTCAAATCCCACGTCCAGATTTTAACTCACATAGTCTTAAAATGACACTCAAATGCGGTGGGGGGGCAGGTGGTATTGCCCAGTCAGAGGTGCAGTCTTTCGATTGAGATGTTAAACTGAAATCCTACCTGCCTGTACAGGTGATACAGATTAAAGATCCCGTGGCACTATTCGAAAAGAGAAGGGAGTTTTTCCCATTGTTCTGGTCAACAATTCCACCAAAATAATGGTCATTGGTTTCATGGCTGTTTGTGAGACCTTGCGCAATTATACTGCTGCATTTGCACAGTGAATTTCAAAGTAAATTCTGTGAAGCGCTTTGAGACATCCTTCTGACATGATAAGGCGCTATACCCGATGCAAAATTATTATTATTAAAACATGACTTGCATTGCTACCATTTAGACAATAAGAAACAGCCCTATAAGGTCAAGGGTTATTTTACTTGCTCAATAGCTGCAACTTTGACTAATGTATAAAATGTAACATGTGAGGTTAGCTAACGGTTGCCACTTCAAGCAACCATAACCGAGCATTACTGTTTGGGCCCAAAGTGGTCTTTTTAATAGAGTAGGTTTAGATGAGGCATTATCGACTATTTAATAATTTCCAAAAAAGCTGTCTTTTTCTGATGAAGGTAGTATTTTGTTACAGTTTTAGTGAAATACCAGAATTATAAATTGGGTCTGAAAGTTTTCTAGCTCCAATCTGGGTCTTGAATTTGCTTTTGCATACGTTTGCAATAATTGCTTTGTTTTTGCATGAAGTTTCTGATATGGAAAGTTCCATTCTAATGCCTTCAGCTTTGGCCAGAGAGACAATAGATCACTAAGATGCATTAGTCACAGAATATTTTATTCTCATTTACCATGAGACCAGATCAGTAAATGGACCAATTATTTCTTTAAATTCCAACATCACGTTGTACTCTGTATGATTTGAGAAGTACTCAGCCGATCATTCTTTCTGGCTTTGCTTAAATCTGAAACTTGATTTAATGTTCCTTTTACGTTACACTTTTACGAAAGGAAGGTCTTGCAGTTCTATAGCACTTTAGCAAGTGTCAAAATGATTCCCAAGCTATCTCTGCTGAATGTTGAGATTATTTTGTAGACATCTACTTGCACCAGGAATACCCAGAGATGAATGAATGATTAATCTGGAGGATTGTTGCCCAAGCACTGGGAGAAACTTCCTTCTCATTTCAGACAGTTTCAGGAGATGTTTAAAATCCCCCTCAAGAACAGGCAGAGCACTTGACAAACAGCACTCTGACAATGCAGTGCTTTCTGGCCTTTAAGCTCAATCCTGCTATGGGGCTTGAAATCAACATTTGGATCCAGAGGCTAGAGTGTTACCAACTGAGACAAACACCTATTTCTGCAATAATCAGAGGACTTTTCAAGTCATACGGAATACAATGTGATGTTGAGTAGCTGTTTATAGAGATATGCAAGAAGCTCTCAGACGTGTTGATGAGTGATTGAGAGCTAGTAATATGAATACTACTCTCAATCATTCTTCTACTGGAAGCAGTATTTTCATTTGTGGAGCATGAAGGACATACTATGTAGATTTGAGAAGGGCAGAATCCAGTCAACCAATTATGTCCAAATATTGAGTAGAATTGTTTAAGTTGTTGCCATGTAGTGAAGTTTGGTTTTCACCAATAAAGCACAGTACTTTATACCGCTGGAATCCCCTCCCCTTCCTCTCTGACCTGCTCACACCCCACTCCTTTATCCGCCATCATCACTCAGCCAATAGCAATAACAAGTTGCACTTATATAACGCCCCTCACAAAGGGTAGAGTCCCAGAACTGTATAAAGTACTCTGCTGTATGGATCAAAATCAAACCCTCACCGTGTGGTGACAACTTTACAAAATTCTACTCAATATTTGTTCATACTTGTTTGACTGGACTCTGCCCTGCTCAGCAATACAGTTCTCTGCTCGTGCCTCATTCCCTCTGCTCCACGATTGGCCAAGGGCTCTGACACGCTGCCCTGGGTGATGGGCTATATAAATGCAAATTGTTGTTGTTGATAACCGTACTTTCAGCCATTGTGTCCCGAATCTCTAGATTTCCTTGAATCAATCCCTCCCTCTGCTCGTCTTCAAATCACACCTAAAGACTTTCCTCTGCAACCATGCCTTTGGTTACCTCTCTCCCTCCCCCTCCCACTTTCGGCTCAGTGTCAAGCCAGACAGCTGTTGAGTGCTTCTTTGACGCTACCTGTTTGAAGGGCACTATATAAATGTTGTTGTGGGTTGCTTACAAATTCACAGTCACTATACTTTACAGTAAATCCTGTTAAGTGCTTTGAGATGTTTCGATGACTTGATAACCGGCATTATCAAATGCAAGGTTTATTTTTATTGTTATCGAACCAGTTGGGGCTTTGGTTTATAGGTTAACAAATGCCTTGGATTACATTACCTCGTACGTGCTAGGCTATGCTAGGCAGCTCTTCACAGGTAATGCATTTTAGGGAGACCACACTTGAATCCTTTGCCTCCCACCCCCCGATGAGCATATTTCTGCCCAAACTTTTGGTTTGGTTTTTGACCAAAACATTTTCTCAAAATTTCTACCAATAGCAACAAAATGCAAGTTCCTATTTGAATGCATAGTAAGAGTGAAACTGGCTCAACTTTGTTAAAAAAAGAAAATCCCAATTGCTTTTTTTTGTCTTGAATCATTTATATAAAAAAAACTTGATGTATTCGCACAATATTTGAAGCATTAAATACCTCTGAGTTCAGCCACAGCTCAATTTCAAAAGGCATGTTCCATAATTATTGTTTAAAATTCGTTAACAAGTATATCTTGCCTGATTTGCAGTGCAGTTGCTGTTCTGGAACTATTTTTAAACTAACTTGCGTCTCTATACCTGGTGTAGAACATTGTTGCTGTCCTCAGCCAAATCTGACAAATGGGAATTGGTGCACGATGTAAAGATTCAACAGAGCCAGTAAGTGAAAATGTAACAAATAGAGTCCAAACAAAATTGTGTCTGAGTACCAGTGTCCAGACCCATTATTAAACTTGTAAATCAAAGCAGCAGAATAAAAGAATAAGAAAATTAACAGATAAGAGGTGGCCACTTCGAGTCTTGTAGAACAAAAAAAGAAATTAAATGGAACAGTCTGTAAAAACTATAATGAAGAGCCCTGGAGCCATTTCAAGATATTTTCAGGTAATCTTTTACTTCTGTTTCTCTTTGGCCCACAGTTGTCTTTGGACTGTTGATTCAGCCAACCTTTTTCTCTGTGAAATTTATAAATTCATTGGATAATTTTCATGTCATTGCTAAGTCTATTAGCTCAAGAAGCTTTCTTTTAGGTCTGCTGCTTTACTTTTGTTTCACCTCTATTCAGTTGTGTGGTATTTAGACACATTTTTGAGTGAGCTCCATGAGGAAAATTTTCACTTCCTGGATCTTGAATCTCCTGATTCAGATGAAGAGAGAAATAAAAGTCTTTTGAAATTGAATGAATCGTCAAAACAAATTAAACTTTGGACTGCTCGGATTGTAACAATAAGGTGACAGATACACTTTCTCCCATCTCAATGAGATGTCCTAACTATTGGATCCTCAATTCTGGATATTTTATAAATGCCACATTAATAGTTAAAATAATGAATAAATAAGTAGTTAAGTTAGATACAAAAAAAGAAATGAGATCTCAATCACAGTAAAACTGTTTGGCTGTGTTCTTGTGATGTACAACTTGACTTTAATCTTCAGTTGGGTTACATCCTTGATCTCTGTAATATCCATTATATGACATGACACGGTATTCATACCATCACACCAGAATTGGTTAGTGTGTAGTAAGTTATTATAGGAACTAATTTTGTTTCAAATAGTATGTTTGCTGAGATCGTTTGCAAAATATTCAGTAAAATGCAATGCTGTCTCAACTTCATAAGTTAAATCGATTATAGGTTATATAATGGAAGCTCTGAAAGGCTTTTTTTTAAAAATATTTTTTATAAAAAAAATTGTTACTATATTTTTCACAGTAACGTTTGGGTAGTGGACACAGACTTTTCCTTGGGTCCACTCCCAGCATGCTTTGGTTTCCTCTTCAAGTGCAATATAATTTATTTTTAAGTGTAATTGTCAGATTTTAATAGCATTCTGACATTTTGGAGGGATGAAGGAAAAGCTTTTCAGCCTACTGAGTAAAATACCTTTCCACTGCCTCATATTCTGGCTTTGGAAAGCATTATGTTGAAGAATAAAATATCAGTTTGCCATATTTCTGAATAGCATCCAGTGATGATGACATTCTTAGACCGCATAACCTGGCTAGTTTTTAATATTAGTATTAGGAGTAACATAAGGTCACATGACAATTGTGATTTTGTTTTGATTCAGCGCTCTCTTGACATTTACAAGTGTTTTACCTTTGTTTAGACGTGCACACTTGCCAAGCTTTCCTGTGAAATAGTTACAGATTGTATGTAATGGGTAATAACTCCTAACTCGATTTGATGGTACTAAAATCTCATTGCAACCAACTTGATGTGTGTTCAGAAAACTGAGGATTTCTTTTTCAGTTTATATCTTTTTTCAAAGGGGGATAAATGCTAAAAGTATCAGTGATGATCTTCACTAAGCTGAGCAAATATTTCTTAATAATAAAGGCAATTCTAACCTTTTTTGTTTGTTTGTTTTGTCATCCACAGATACAACGAGGCCAAAGAGAAGCCAGGAGACTGACGGAGTGGAATATCATTTCACTTCCAAGCACTTGTTTGAGACAGATGTACAAAATAACAAGTAAGTTGAAAAATGGCACATCATGTTTCATGCCAGCACATCTGGAAAGTTTCAGATAGTGATGAAAAGTATTGGAATACTTGAACAATGGGTTACTTGGGAAAACGGATAGTCAAGTCATTCAGGGAGTCAAATGATACTGCTGTATTCTGTTATCGAATTATTAAACTTGGCATCGCCCATCCTTCACCTCATAAATTGGTGCCACAGATTCAAAATCTAATGAGAAACTAGTGGAAATAATTTGATGCAACCCATGAAGCCATTGTTAGTGTGTGAGCATAGGCTGCATGTTCCCTATTGAGCACAAAGTATCTTCTATTCAAACTACAGATTGTATTTGAATTTATTCCCTTTACTTCACTTTCATAGCTATATATTTCATAACCATGAAATTCCAACGTGCCTTATATATTGCTTCAGGTTTTCAGTGGGACTAGACTTTTTCAAAAAAGTACAAGTCAAAGGTCAACCAATTTTGTTCTGAAAATTTTCCAGGTTTATTGAACATGGAGAATACAAAAGCAACTTGTATGGAACAAGCCTAGATTCTGTTCGATCTGTGCTGGCCAAGAACAAAGTGTGCCTGTTGGATGTACAATGTCATGTAAGTTACTATAAAGCTTTTTTTAAAAAAAACTGTTCTTTGTCAGGTCTACGAGAAAATTCAGAGCTGCCAAGTTTTAATTTATCTTGTACTTTTATAGAGGAAAAGTTAAATCATTTTCATTTTCATGTTTTCATTAATATTTTGGTTTGGAGACTCCAATGTGACTTGCAGCGGTTGGTACGGAACACATTAGGGTAAATAGAGTTTAAATTTTCCTGCGGCTGCTTCAGCCTCAGGAACAAAATGAGACTGTTCAGTTTGCGGTGTTAGGAAAATCTTCCCTGGAAGGATCAAATGTTTGTCTATATAGTCATACACTTACATTTGTTTCTTTTCAAGAAAATGATCTGTTGCTGCTGAGCAAATGAACAAATGGTGTCCTCTGAACTAAAATAATATTTCCTCTCTTCCCTCCAATTTCTGTCACTTATTTTAGGTACTCTGCACCTTTTGTACTTTACAGTAAATCCTGTCAAGCGCCTTGTGATGGCTTCCCATCATGAACAGCATTATATTAAATGCAGGGATTATTTAATTATTATTACTTCTTGGCCATATTTCCTCTTCAAAGCTCCTCTTAAAATATCTGCAAATTATCGGTTGAGCAAGTCTAGCTGAAAGTTGCATTCCCTTAGCTTCCTCCCTCTTTTATGCTTCTCTCTTTGTGGCTATGCTCTGTGATGACTGGAGACTTGTTCATTGAAAGTGTTGGAAGTAACCACCATCTTACCAAAGGATAGTGTGGCACATCCAGGAAGCTGGCCTCTGCATTACCTTTTCTCAACTGAGTGGATCAAACTTCAGTTTAATTTGATCATAAATTAATTTTGGATAAAGATAGCTCTTTGGCGCAATTGATCTTACCCATCGATGGCTTATGAAATCTTCAATGGCTTATGAAAAACAGAACTCAGCAATTCCCCTTAAAATACTAGATACAAATCAGCCTGATTGTGTACTGTAATTAAATCCATGTAAAACATACACTATTAATGTCTTAGACAATAATTGTACACTTTTATTTCTGACATTGCAGCCTTAAGGCTTAGACTTAGACCACTCAGCTACCTGACTACTGCAGGACTTGTATTATTGACCATTAGTGGTTTAGGTCACTGCCTGGAATAGAATGAACACTGTGGAAAATGTCCTCCAAATACTGTAGATTTTTGGGAACATTTCTTTATTACGTATGGTCCAGTGATTACATCACTTTGGAGACACATTGAAAGACTCGGACTTGGCTTTTTAACTGTAAACATTTTGCTAATATAGCCCTGAATAACTTGGCAAATTATGATTTTTGTGTGGCATTGGCTTTCCAACACAAAATGTGCATGCACACGTCATTTTGGGATGAGCCAGAGTTGAATTGTTCTTGCTCACGTAGCATCTACATACTTTATCTAACCTAGGGTCACCGCTTCTAAGCTATTAAACTCTACAATTGCTCTAGATAATTGGTATGATGGTGCACATTACTTAAATATCACTATTAATAATAATAATCCTTTATGTAGTGTCTTATCACATCATCTACCATCCTCACCTTGGGTGCCAAGTCAGTATTGTTAAGCGCCTTTAGAAGTCCCATTTATACAGCACCATTGGCTACATAAATGTAAATTTATATTGTACTGTTGCATCGTATCAAAGTGCTTCACAGGATTTTTTGTGGCATTTAATGATTGTGCATTTATAGGCGAACGTACAACAACTTTCATTTATATAGAATTCTTCACGCTGGGTAGCGTCTTGGAGCACTTAACAATGGCATAGTTTTGACACCAAGCTTCATCTGACTGTCGGGGAGAAAGGGGAGGTGACCTTAGACACCGTTGAAGAGAAAAGTCTGTTACATGTGATCTAAAGAGGGGGTAAGGAGTAGAGATTGCAACAGGGATTTCCAGAGGGTCAGGAATTTCAGCAAAATGGCTGAAAGCACAGTCGCCGAAGATAGAGCAGAAGTCTCAAAGGACTTGCAGAAGGCTCAAGACAGCCGAGTGAATGGAGCAGTTAGAGGAGTGGGGTGTTTGTAGATCGGAAAGGAAGCAACCAATGCAATAACTCACAAACAGCAAGGAAGTGAATGACCAATTTTATCTGGAGAATTGTTGACACCAGAAACTTCCTTCTCGAATAGTGTCATGGGTTCTTTAATGTTCACTTGAATTGGCAAATGGGACCTTGGTTTAATGTCTGAAGGACGCCACCTCTGACATTGCATAGCTCCCCCAGCACTGCACTGAAGTGCCAGCCTAGACTAAGCTCAAAGTCCAACAACCTTCTGACTCGAGGCAAGAATGCTACCACCTGAACCAAGATGACACCAGGCACTTGGGTTTTTATTTTCAGGATTATGAAATGTGTTCATGCAAGCAAATTGTTCACTGTGCCAAATGCTTCAATAACAAGAGACACAAGTTAAAAGGGAAGTTATATCTAGGGACAGAAATTGGGTTAACATTCTTTTAACATGAAAGTTTGATACTTGTATAATAGAAATGTGGAATATATTAGCAGGAAAGATAATTGAAGTGGACAGAAATATATGGATCCAAGATGCAGTTAGACAAGCTTCTGGGGAGAGAAGGGATTAAGGGATATGGTGAGAAGCCAAGTAGGTTGGGATTAAATGAAAAACTGAATAATGGAAAGTTGAAACAAAAACAGAAAATACAAGAAATGTACAACATCTTAATTAACATCTGAATAGTAAAAGACCACCTTACGCTTGTAACCCTTCATCCAGTTCAGAATAGGAAGGGGTTTCTGGTTTAACGGCTTTCCCTGTTGCTAAAAAAAAATCCTATGTACAGCCTGTAGAGGTGATGTGTTGTCTTCTTTGTGGAGTCCTGTAGCTCAGTGGTTAGAGCACTCGCTTTGCAAGTGAGAAACCTGAGTTCAATTCCAGGCAGAGGGCAAAACCTTGGGCAAGTTTCCTTACTCCACACGCCTAATAATAATCCCTCCAAAAACCCCAAACAATAATTAAATTGGTCATTTTCAATCTACGACTGTTTGTGGGACATTGCTGTGCGCAATTGGCTGTCGCGTTCGCCCACAAATATACAATCAGTTCACTTTACAGTGTGTTCTGTGAAGCACTTTGGGACGTCCTCCCGACGTGAAAAGCGCTATATCAAATGCAAGGATTATTATTATTATTATTCTAGACCATAGCATTTTGTTTCTGTGTATGATACCTGTAGAAATTTCTATATCATTTTATCTTCATATAAATTAAGCAAATGATTAGGCCTTTTGGCCCATCAAGCCTAATTTCCATGAAGTTTGTGAATGAATGCAACTCAGCCATCTGATTTCCAGGGTATATATGGGTTTCCCAGCACCAACAAGTCTGACTGTTGAGTGGTTCAGTCTCTTCAAGAATCGTTCAGGCACCAAAAGGTATTTTCCTGGCTCCTTGTTGCATTGGAAATTAATTTTGCTGTCTGTTTACCATGTGGCCTATAGTGGAAGGTTATAATCACTGTCACATTGTCCAGCATAGCACATCGAAGTGTTGAGTGTGGGCCTGAACTGAGGTGTTTAGGCTCATACATTGAAAAATAACCATATTGGTGAGATACTGAGCTTTCACTTCCTGTATTTCTACTGAGCTACAGCTTTCAGTAGAGAAGGAACAAGTAGAAAACACTCTGATCTATCTATTAGGCATTTCACAAGAACAGAAATGCTGGACGAAAAAAGGACCAAAGTCATGCACATATGATCCAAACTACCTATGTACTATATCCCATAATGTTATTCCTACAAGAAAACGATCTAATCTGTGTTTGAAGGAATAAATACTTCCTGCTTCAACCATATCCCTAGGGAGCCTATTTTCAAAGGTTTGTTCTGAATTTACCCCCCCCCCCCCCCCGCAATCACAGACCATATCCTTTGGTTTTACTATTCAGGACTAGTTGAAACAGCCTGTCATGATCTACATTGTCTTACCCCTTTAGAATCTTAAAAATAGCAATCATATCGCCTCTCAATCTTCTCTTTTCCAGCGTGAACATGCCCAATTTACTTGGTCACTCCTCATAGATGAATTGGTGGATGAAGGGCAATTCATCCACCATTCATCCATTTTGCCCCCACCCTCTGTAATTCCATCCCGCAATCCCTCCGCCTCACCCCCTCCCTTGCCTCCTTCAAGACCCGTCTCAAGACACTCTTTGACCTTGCCTTCGGTCACCCTCCTTCCCCCCCTGCCCTCCACTCTCCCTGATCCCGATCTCCAGCTCGGGCCCAAAGCACTGATTGTCCAGTGCCTTGGGACGTCCTCCCAACGTGAAAGGCGCTATACAAATGTAATCTTGTTGTTCTCATTTTTCATGCATATTATTTTTGTTCCATTCAAGTAATAGTCCCTTGCTGTATTTTGTATCCCCATGCGAAGTACTTTATATTTCTCCACATTGAATTTCATCTGCCCAATTCCCAAGTATGTTCAAATCCTCCCGTAATTTCTCTTGTTCAGCTTTGCAATCTACTATCTTCATTAGCTTGGTGCCATCTGCAAACTTAGCCACTGTGCTTGTAACTCCTGGTTCCAGATCACTCATAAAAATATTAAACAAAAGAGGTCCCAAAACAGACCCTTATGGAGCTTCACTGGTAAAAAAAAATTCCAGTCTGATGATATTCCCTGTACCACTACCCTCTGGGTTCGTCTGGTCAATCAGTTGCGTATCCAGTGTAATATACCTCCACTGATTCCTGCTTTCTTTACTTTCGGTACCAGCCTCTCAAGAGGAACTGTATCAAAAGCCTTACTGAAATCCAGATATACAACAGCCACAACATTACCTTTGTCAAGTTCCCTTGTCACACCGTCTAAGAAAACCAGTAAATTAGATTGGCAAGACCTCCCCTTCATGAATCCATATTGGCTATCATTTATGATTTTATTTCTATCCAGATGCTCCGTGATTTTATCCTTAATAAGAATCTCCATAATTTTACCCAAAAGTTAAACTTACTGGTCTGTCGTTTCCTGGGTCACTTTTGTTACCTTTGTTAAAACAGGAGTAATGCAAGTAATGTATCTCCAAATGCAAGTATTAATGGTGAAGGAAATTCTCATTACTTCAATTGACTTAGTTTTCCAACTGACTTGCTTCTAAAGTTTTTTTTTACAAATGCTTGTAAATAGCGAGCATGGAAAATATTTGATAAACTGGTGAGAGTATAGACTATGCAATCCATTTATTACTAACACATTCAATGCAATATAGGTTTCATTGTGCATTTGCAACTAGATATCTGTTGAAGCATAAAACAAATTCACACCACTTAATTACAGACAATAAAACATCTGAGGACGTCGGAATTTAAACCATATGTGATATTCATCAAGCCACCGTCACTTGAACATCTTCGTGAAACCAGGAAGAATGGAAAAATCATTTCAAGTAAAGATGATAAAGGCTCCTCTAAACCATTTGCGGTATGTTTTACAGTTTATGTACTTTGAAATTTACTGGATTTGAGGCTGTTTGGGTGAGTACAGTTTTCAAGTATATCTGAGAAAATTTCTGTTGAAGTAACTGACAGAACACAACATTTTTTTATGGTGATCCCATCCAGCATTCAATTTTAAGGAGTGCATGTTTCTAGTGAGATTCGAATTTTAGGGATAAATGTACAGTGATTTTAAAGCATTCCTTGTTTTAACTATGTTCATTAATGAGCGCATCCCTCACTAGATAAGAGGAATTACTTTGCCTAATGCCATGTTTTCTTCTTGAAACAATTTTGCAATTTTTTTTTGCCTCAATTGTTTTCTACTGAAGAGGAGAAAAATTCTAAATTGGCATGTTCCAGTAGCTCTTTTCTCTTTGACCGAGCCTTCAGCTCCCCTCTCGACTCTCTTCCTCCTCCTCGCTCCCTCCCTTCCCTCCCCTCACCCTGACCATTTCCCCCCTCCTCTCTCCCTCCCTTCCCTCCCCTCACCCTGACCATTTCCCCCCTGCTCGGGTCATGACCCAACTGTGCAGCGCCTTGGGACGTCCTCCTGACGTGAAAGGCGCTCTATAAATGGAATCTTGTTGTTGTTGTAGCTGTTGTGATGGTCAAAAACGTGCAATAAATGTGATTGATTTTGGTATCTGCACTTAGGGAATGTTACTCTGGGGATCTCATTTATGCTTTTGCTTTAATCGCAGGAAGACGACTTTCAGGAAATGATCAGATCTGCAGAGTTGATCGAAGCCCAACACTCGCATCTCTTTGACAAAATTCTAATAAACGGTGACCTTTCTACTGCATATAATGAGCTCAAATCTACATTAGGCCACCTGGAGTCGGACGCTTTCTGGATTCCAATCAACTGGCTACATTCATAAAACTATAAAAGGGAATCATAATAATATAACTGGACATTGTTTTTAAACCTCTAATATTCATGATCATTCCCAGAAGAGTGGACAGTGCTTTGAAGTAAAACATTGCCACTTTTTTTTGCACTTTTAATGTCCAATAGCAAACCATGTTGCTTCTGCTAATCATGAGCTTTTATCTACCTGAAAGGAGCAGTGCTAAAACAGTTTCAGTACTTGGGGAATATATGTAGACACTTTCTGTTTTTACTACTGATGTTCAAACTTGTAGATTGTCTTCTGTGGTGACAGGGATATTATTTTTTAAAACTCTGAAATCTTAAGTGTATTTTAGTAAATTATGGGTGGTATTAGTTTTAAATTAGAGAATATATGGTTCAAATTGCTGATGAAGAAAGTACATGGAGGCAGGAAGCATTCATAAGTCATGTGATGGCAGACATCAGCTGGAGGTTCATGTGTCTTGTACAGAGGAAATCGTATGAGAAACACTACATTAGAAGAAAATTGGAAACTTTTAAGTTTTTGCCATGTTAACGATGTGATTAAGTGTGTGTTAATGGTATTGGTTGTTATTAGGTATATGAAACCTGGTATTAAATCATGCTCGACATTCCATGTAAATTTACCTCACTAATTTGTGCTGATAATGCCATGAGCAGTGCACTGTAACTGTATTTTGACTGGTGGGATGCGATGGTTATGTACATTCAAGTTTTATTATATCCTGATAATTTCTCAACTCAAAACTATTCAACTTATATGCATCTGTTTTAAATCCCATGTACTCCAAATTAATAATTTACCAAACTCCGTTTCAGTGTGGTGTTTTAGTGTGAGGTTTAGGTGCTTCTTATATGTCGAGCATCTCGAAGAGAAAGTTGTTGAATCGTAATGTGCAATCTTAAGTGGATTTGAACTGTTTCTGCAGTATCTATAAATATTAAAATCTTGACTTGTATTACCTTTAACAGGCAATCAAAGCATGCTTTTTATATCAGCAACATCAACACAGCAACAACAACTACTTACATTTACGTAGCGCCCTTCACACACTGCTGGAGTTTAACCAGCTAAAAGTCAATAGCTTGCCATTGAGTCCACTGCCCAGCAAGCTTCCTGAGCTTAATAAAGAGTCCCTAACCATTAAGGCTTCAGGGTTCAGGTTAACAGGAGCTGAACGGGAAGAATTCCTACCCCAGGAACTGGCTGCCCTTCCAAGTTTTAACCATGAGCCAGGTTGGCTTGTTTGTCATCAACAGTGTACTGCGGATCTATCACTCATCTGCCTCAGGTACCGCACTACTGATATTACCACAGAGGATTGACTCGATTCTGACATTCTGTTTTCAAGCAGATTGCATTGGAGCCAGATCTGTGCCAGGGAGACCTCACTGACCTTCTCCTCGATCACCTCTCAGGAGGATAGTTACTAGTTGGTCATTCAACATCTGACAAGTGCATGTTTGATCCCTCACTGGATGGAAAGCAGGTTCTGCGCACAGTCTGAGCTTTCACTAACAACAACTTGCATTTATACAGTGCCCTTCACGTAGGGTAGTGTCCCAGAGCGCTTGAAAGTGGCAGAGCACGTCTCCCAAGTGGGTGGGAAGGGAGATTACCATAGGCACAGTGGAATAGGAAGGTCTTCAAGTGCAACCTGAAGATGGGGAAGGAAGGTGCAAGGTGAAGGGATAGAGGAAGAGTGTTCCAGAGTTTCAGGGCATAGTGGAATGGTGGAACAGAGGGCAGGAGGGATATGCAGAAGGCCAGAGCCAGTCGAGGAGGCAGTGGGTCAGGGGATAAGCAGGTTGTGTGGTGCCAGGGCTTGAAGGGATTTGCAAACGAGTATGAGGATCTTGAAATCAATCCTTTCGGCGACAGGGAGCCCTGGAGCCTGGCTCGAACTATTGTGATTGGGTGCTGAGTTTTGTACAGTGAGTATGCGGGTGGTGGCATTTTGGATCAGTTGGATCCTGTGTATGATGGAGTTGGGGAGACTGGCAAAGTGGGCATTTGAGAAATTGAGTCAGGAGGTGACAAACACATGGATGAATATCTTGGCTGTGTCTGGTTAAGATACAGTCAGAGGCGGGCAATGTGACAGAGGTGGAGGAAGGTGGTCCTGTTCAGGGACCAGATGTGGGGAAGGAAGGATAGCTGTGGGTCAAACATGACACCTAGGTTGTGCACTGGTTCGGTAAGTCTGAGGGATAGGCCGGTGAGGTTGAGAAAGTCAGAGCCGCAGGATAGAAAATGTATGGCTTGTCAACATTCAGTTGTAGGAAGTTTTTGCTCATCCAGCCCTTGATGTCCGCCAGACAAGCAGAGAGAACATTGGCGGACCTGGAGTCACAGCTGGATGAGGCAAAGTAGATTTGTGTGTCATCCGCATACATGTGGAAGTTTACCCCATGTCTGCGGAAGACATCGCCAAGCGGGAGCGTATAGATGAGGCAGAGGAGGGGGCCAAGGATGGGACCCTGGAGTACACCACAGGTGACCGGGCAGGGAAGATGGAGAAACCGTTTGAGAAAGTAAAGTGAAGGCGGATTATTAGGAAGGACTCAAACCATACTCGTGTGGTCCCGCGGGTGGATGAGGGAGGAGAGGCTTTGGATGAGGTTGCCGTGGTCAACTGTGTCAAATTAAGAAGCAAAATTCACATATTTATAGTACATTATCACGTAAAAATATCTTAAGCCATTCCACAATACAAGTGAATAGCCTAACTCAAATTAAGGGTATTTCAAAACCCTTAGAAAGGAATAGAACGTGCTGTGCAGTGCTGTAAATTTGACCCTGGTAAACTTATGGCATCTACTTCGAACAAATCTCATTAGCACAATTTTTAAGTGCACAAGCAGCCATATGACACATGTTTTAATTATTATATCTGCTTCCAATGTCTTCCTGAGTTGTCAATGCATGACATCAGCAAAACCATCATCACACTTCCACGTGTGAAGACGATTCCCAACTCGACTTTTCTGCTTCAACTTTCGCGGTTGCTCACTCCAGCTCACAGAGGCTGTGTGTAATCTTGGCATTTTGTTTGTCTCTCAACTGCCTTCATTCATACCTTTCATCTGGGTTCTGACCAAGTGCTCTTTCCTCCAACTCCACAATATTGTTTGCCTCCACTACTATCTCGTCGCCAATGTGACCAAAATCCCTCATCCGTGCTTTCATGACTTCCACATTTTTACAATTCCCTCCATGACCTTAGCACACTTTATCACTGTGATGTCCTGGGTCTATGCTTCTTCCACCAACTTTTATAGCATCGGCGGATGAGCTTTCAAGTGCTTAGTCTCCACTCTTAAGACTCATTGAAAATCCCTCCTCCTCCTCCTCCTCCTCACGCCTCTCTTTTTGCTTTCATATCCCTAAAGACCTATCTCTTTGATTGCGCTTTCGTACTTAAGATTGAGATCATAGAATCATAGAACTATACAGCACAGAAGGAGGCCATTCGGCCCATCGTGTCTATGCCGGCTCTTTTAAAAGAGCTATCCAATACAATGAAAACCCTCCAAATGTTATTGACATCTACATGTTAGAAAAGAGAAGAGGTGTCAGGGAGATGTTATCATTAAATAGCAATAGATCCCCGTTGGACCACTTTATTGATGAAAATAATTTTATGCAAAGTTATTACTCTAATGAAAGGGAACACAGAATTGCTCGTTTTATCTAGTCCCTATTGTCAGATGCTCTCGTGAAAACAACACAAGTATTGCAGTCTGGGCACAATGTTTTCGTAGCACTTATAAAACGTTCCCTGAAGCCACGTCTGGATACAAATTTCAATAACATTTGTGCTCCAATGAATTCAATCTTTGTGAAATCCAGGAAAAGAATGTAATCCTTCTAATCCACTAAGTAATTGTAACCCAGAGCATCATCAAATATTCTGACATTATTGTTGATGTCTGTTTTCAATAAATGATTGTTGATATCCAGTCACTTGGTCAAGATGGTTTTCATTTCTTACCTAAGATTTTATTCTTATTAAATAAATTAATTGCACCGTGGTTTTGAATGCCTTTTGACTCTTATCTGGTTTTGGATTCAGTCTGACATTTTTTCCTAATAACCTATTTCTTAAATGTTGTTCAGTTCACATTCCAGAATTCTTTCCACAAAGTGCATTAATTGAAAGTGTTTTAAGAGATCCCCAAAGACTGTAAAAATCACCAGACAAACCATCAGAACCCAGGCTTTTATTAAATCTTAAATCTTCCGAATCTTATTCAAATCCTGCATTAATAAGGGTCAGTGCAAAATATGTCTTCAAATACAGTCAATTATTTGAATTAGTTTAAAATTATGTTCAAGAATGAGTTGATTAAGTCCTAATCCTTAGAAAAGCAGTGCAATTTGTCTGTGGTGGAAGTAACTGTAGTTGAAATATAACATGGGTGTTTATTGACAAAGGCAATTTTTATTTAAAGATGTCAGGATTTGTTTTTAAAAAAACTTGTTTTGGGAGCAAACAAACTTTTTTCACAATACACTATCTGAGCCAGTTTTGTCTTCAACTGACAAAACGCCTTCAGCTTTTATTTCCTAATGGAGAAAAAAATTAATTCTAATTTTCCCAATAATTCTGTTTTGGTATCGTTAAATGATGGTTTGTTTGATTTATCTTCCCGCATTTTGAAGCTTAAGCTGTCACTGTTGACTAAGTCTCCCACTCAAAGAGTAAAGCAGGTTGTTATCACTGGCAACTTCTCAAGTTATCATAAACTTTGATTCTTTCCTCTGGAAGAGGAGTCTAAAACAGGGGACAGAATATAAAATTAAGTTCGACAACACTGTTTCACACAGTTGTGAGAAAAAGGGGAATATTCTGCCGCAGACTCCATAAAGCAGAATAGGCTGAGATCTTTGAAAGTGAGATGGAGGGATACCTGGTAAGAGTTAGTTTAGTGTTAGTTTAGTGATGCCTCTCTGTACAGACCATTCCTCCTCATTGTTTTCACGAGCTGCAGATCTACAGATGAAGAATGAAATTTTAGGCTGGAGGAGAAATATTGGCCGGGACACAATACTGGCAAACTCTGCACTTCTTTGGAAAGGTTTTGTGGCAAAGCATCACTGCCCTTGGCATTGCACGAGAATACCAGCCTGACGTCCTGGTGTCGGGCTCCAACCAACAACTGTCTGAGACTGTAACCGAGTGTGAATTATAGTTACTGCTGCAAACTCCACCGTCCCCAGTAATCCACAGAGGGACAATTCTGCCGCATAATAATAATAATAGTAATCCTTGCATTTGATATAGCGCTTTTCACGTCGGGAGTACATCCCAAAGCGCTTCACAGAATAGACTGTAAAGTGAATTGACTGTATATTTGTGGGCGAACGCGGCAGCCAATTGCGCACAGCAATGTCCCACAAACAGTCGTGGATTGAAAATGAACAATTTATTATTGTTTTGTTTTTGATATAAAGACTATTAATATATAAATATATTATTTTTTATTCGTAGAATAAGAATCTGGTGGAGGGGGTGTGGGGTGGGGGAAGAAAGTTTGGGTAAATGTGGTGAAAATACAGATTTATTTTGGAAATGAAAAAAACATCAAAACTACACGGACACCAACAAAACAGTGGCTTTATTGATGGAACAGCAGAGAGACAGTTTATCCACATTACGCGGGAACAGGTCTGATTGTGGATAAGCAAACAGTGTGGATAAGCGGACAGTGTGGATAAGCGGACAGTGTGGATAAGCGGGCAGTGTGGATAAGCGGACAGTGTGGATAAGCGGACAGTGTGGATCAGCGGACAGTGTGGATCAGCGGACAGTGTGGATAAGCGGACAGTGTGGATAAGCGGACAGTGTGGATAAGCGGACAGTGTGGATAAGCGGACAGTGTGGATCAGCGGACAGTGTAAGAAGGCTGACAGGTAACCAAGAAACAAGTGGCATCAGTAGTTAATGCTATAACTGTAGTAACAC